TCAAAGCAATCTATGAAAACCCACAGCCAACATCCTATTGAATTGGGAAAAGTTGGAAGCATTTCCACTGAGATCTGGGACCAGACAGGGATGTCCACTCTCACCACTGCTATTCAATATAGTTCTGGAGGTTCTAGCCAGAGCTATTAGGCAAGAAAAAGAAATTAAAGGGATACAAATTGGGAAGGAAGAACTCAAACTATCCCTCTTTGCAGATGACATGATTCTTTATTTAGGGGACCCAAAGAACTCTACCAAGAGACTATTGGAACTCATAGAAGAGTTTGGCAAAGTAGCAGGGTATAAAATCAATGCACAAAAATCAACAGCCTTTGTATACACAGACAATGCCATGGCTGAGGAAGAAATTCTAAGATCAATCCCATTCACAATAGCTACAAAAACAATCAAATACCTTGGAATAAACTTAACCAAGGACGTTAAAGATCTCTACGATGAAAATTACAAAACCTTAAAGAAAGAAATAGAAGAGGATACCAAGAAATGGAAAAATCTTCCATGCTCATGGATTGGAAGAATCAATATCATCAAAATGTCCATTCTCCCAAAAGCAATTTATAGATTCAATGCAATACCAATCAAGATACCGAAGACCTTCTTCTCAGATCTGGAAAAATTGGTGCTGAAATTTATATGGAGGCACAAGAGACCTCGAATAGCTAAAGCAATCTTGTACAACAAAAACAAAGCCGGAGGCATCACAATACCAGATTTCAGGACATACTACAGGGCAGTTGTAATTAAAACAGCATGGTACTGGTACAGAAACAGAAGGATAGACCAATGGAACAGAATTGAAACACCAGAAATCAACCCAAACATCTACAGCCAACTTATATTTGATCAAGGATCTAAAACTAATTCCTGGAGCAAGGACAGTCTATTCAATAAATGGTGCTGGGAAAATTGGATTTCCACGTGCAGAAGCATGAAGCAAGACCCCTACCTTACACCTTACACAAAAATCCACTCAACATGGATTAAAGACCTAAATCTACGACCTGACACCATCAAGTTACTAGAGAACATTGGAGAAACCCTTCAAGATATTGGCACAGGCAAAGACTTTCTGGAAAAGACCCGGGAGGCACAGGCAGTCAAAGCCAAAATCAACTATTGGGATTGCATCAAATTGAGAAGTTTCTGTGCTGCAAAAGAAACAGTCAGGAGAGTGAAGAGACAACCGACAGAATGGGAAAAAATATTTGCAAACTATGCAACAGATAAAGGGTTAATAACCAGAATCTACAAAGAGATCAAGAAACTCCACAAAAACAAAACCAACAACCCACTTAAGAGATGGGCCAAGGACCTCAATAGACATTTTTCAAAAGAGGAAATCCAAATGGCCAACAGGCACATGAAAAAATGTTCAAGGTCATTAGCAATCAGGGAAATGCAAATCAAAACCACAATGAGGTTTCACCTCACCCCGGTTAGAATGGCTCACATTCAGAAATCTACCAACAACAGATGCTGGCGAGGATGTGGGGAAAAAGGGACACTAACCCACTGTTGGTGGGAATGCAAGCTGGTCAAGCCACTATGGAAGTCAGTCTGGAGATTCCTCAGAAACCTGAAGATAACCCTACCGTTCGACCCAGCCATCCCACTCCTTGGAATTTACCCAAAGGAATTTAAATTGGCAAACAAAAAAGCGGTCTGCACCCTAATGTTTATTGCAGCTCAATTCACAATAGCTAAGACCTGGAACCAACCTAAATGCCCATCAACGATAGACTGGATAAAGAAATTATGGGATATGTACTCTTTAGAATACTATACCGCAGTAAGAAACAACGAAATCCAGTCATTTGCAACAAAATGGAGGAATCTGGAACACATCATGCTGAGCGAAATAAGCCAGTCCCAAAGGGACAAATACCATATGTTCTCCCTGATCGGTGACGACTGACTGAACACCAAGAGGGAAACCTGTTGGAGTGAGGTGGACACTATGGGAAATGGTGGCTTGATCAGCATAGCCCTGACTGTTAATGAACAACTTAATACATTATCCCTCTTAGTAGTTTTTTTTATCTGTTCTACTTAATATGACTGGTTTAGATCTGTAATTGATGCACAGTTATTCTTAAGTGTTGAAAATTAACTGAAATGTGATCCCTGTTGAACATGGTGGTGGGAATGGGAGAGGGAAGAGATGTATAATTTGGGACATGCTCAGGCTGACTTGCCCCAAGTGGTGGAGTTGGAAGCATACCAGGGGATTCCAATTCAATCCCATCGAGGTGGCATGTACCAATGCCATCTCACTGTTCCAGGTGATCAGTTTCAGTTCACAGTTGGTCATGGTGAAGGGACTGGGAGTCAAAGGGAACACATAGACAAGTCTAGTACCTGCTAACGCTAACCGATGGAGTAAATAAAGGGGAGAGTGATCCAACATGGGAAGTGAGATACTCAGCAGACTCATAGAATGGCAGATGTCCTAAATAGCACTCTGGCCTCAGAATCAGCCCTAAAGGCATTCGGAGCTGGCTGAAAAGCTCATGAGAGTATTTTAGGCATGGAAAGCCAAGACACTCTGGCAAAAGATCTCTGCGAGTGAGATCCCAGTGGAAAGAACAGGTCATCAAAGAAGGAGGTACCTTTCTCTGAAGGGAGGAGAGAACCTCCACTTTGACTATGACCTTGTCTAAACAAGATAAGAGTCGGAGAACTCAGAGGGCTTACATAGCCTTGGAAACTCATGACTGGAGCATAGGGAGATTACTGATGCCATAGACAGGAGTGTCAATTGGTAAAGTCAACAACAGGAGTCACTGTGCACTTACTCCTCATGTAGGATCTCTATCCTTAATGTGCTGTACATTGAGATTTAATGCTATAACGAGTACTCAAACAATATATTTCACTTTGTGTTTCTATGGGGGTGCAAACTGTTGAAATCCTTACTTAATGCATACTAAACTGATCCTCTGTTACTAAAAAAAAAAAAAAGGAAGAAGTTATCAATTCCCAACTTGACTCTCACTGGGATTAAACATGACAATAGGTCTGCTCTGATTTCATCATCATTTAAAAAAATCATCTATTATTTTTCACTTTATGTTTCTGTGTGGGAGCAAACTGTTGAAATCCATACTTAATGTATACTAAGCTGATCTTCTGTATATTAAGATAATCGAAAATGAATCATGATGTGAATGGAAGGGGAGAGGGAGTGGGAAAGGGGAGGGTTGTGGGTGGGAGGGACGGTATGGGGGGGAAGCCATTGTAATCCATAAGTCGTACTTTGGAAAATTATATGCATTAAATAAAAGTTTAAAAAAAAAATCTTAAAAAAAAAATAAAAAAAATAAAAATAAAATCAGATTCCCAGTTCTCAAAGATTCTGCTTTAGAAGAGCTGAGATTGGACTGGAAATCTCTATTTGAATCAATTGCCAAGGTGATACTATTGCAGACTAAATTAGAGAAGACATTGTAAGGAAATAATTCAATGATGTCAATATTCTCTGCTTACGTGGACTACTGGGGACTCTTTAAGCCTTTTTCTTCTTTTCCTTTAGGATCTCTCTCACAAGAAGAAGGCTACCACCCCAGCTGCGAGCCTTCTCACTCGAGGTTCATGTTGAAGCCAGCAGTGTCCTTGGATCCTAGTTCAAAGACAAAGAGAGTGAACCAGGGAGCAGGGAGCCATTGGTGGAGGGGCTGGCCTGAAGGAAGTGAAGTGTTTCAGCCAGAATGTACTGACGCACAACCGGGAAACCACAAGCCTGGTGAGAACCTTTCCAAGCCTGAGCCCTGTGATCAAAGGAGGTACAGGAAACAGCTCTGCCAAGAGTCCTTTCTGCTGTTGGCTGGAACCCTGAGCTTCTGAGCTCTCTGAGTCCACTCCCGCGGCAGATGCTGTCGCCCAAGGAGCCATCCCTAAAGCTTTTTCTTGCTTTGTTCTGAGTTGTCCCTACTGTGCATGGGAGTGAGTTGCTGTCTCTTTTTCTTCTTGCTGCTTTATTTTGGCAGAATTTGCCACTCAATGGCTCATAATGAGTTTTCAGAAACCATTGATTACTGGATTTTTCACCCTTTGTCAATTCGCCATTGTCTAGTGTTCAAGGCCTGTATACAACCATCAACTTTCTGATCTCTTATGAATTCCTAGATCACCTGATTTGCAAGTCTAGGGATAGCCTGGATTACAGCAGGAAAGAGAATTGGCGTTTCCTTCATCATTTGCATCCCAGTCATTATCGCTTCTCCAAGGCTAGTCTTCCTTTCATTGACTACTCTCACCCCTAAGTATGGACTCAACTAGAAATTGCATTCAAATTTATGTCACAGATATAAATCATGTCTGGATACAAGGTCAAAATAATTTTGTTCCTGTGGATTCTCTCTCTTTCCTCAGCCAGAGTAACTCCAGTTGCCATGAAATAAATCACATCATCATAGGCAGATCCAGCTAATAGCTGAGATTAGCTGGATCATTGAACCACGTCCTGAGAACTCAGTAACAGAGAAATTGGACTGACCATGGGGCATTTCAAACTGATTGCTTAGTAATGGGATGTTTTTCCTGGAAAGACAACAGAATGATTCTGAACTGTTGATTCTGTCATGGGTACAGGCTCCATGCACAGGAATCCAAAGCAAGTGTGATAAAATTCTCATCTGGCCTTTTTGCTTTCTGCCCCACATTGCATGTCTCTTTTTATTCTGTAAAGTCAGATTAGATGACTCATCAGCATTGCTCATGTGGCATAAAATCTATAATCTTAATTTACTTTGTAACAAAATCTCACCAAGTATGAGTAAGCCGACAACCTTTTTGAGACGATGTCAGGAGTCTTAGCTTGGGTTTCAATTATTTTAGGAAACATGAAAGACCCAGTGATGAGAGGCTGCACGCCCTCTGCAAAGTTGTCAGAGATCAAGATTTCAGAGACTAAACACACAAACCGAGAAGCAATAATCAAGTGTATTTTGAGTTATTTCTCTCCCGGGACATTGATGCGAAGTAAGAGACTTTGCAAATACGTTGTGTTGCAGTGCATTTTGGGATATGACTTTTTTTGGAAAGTGCTAACTTGTACTCTGCTGACACCAAGCACTGAAAATAAAACCTTTCTCCCCCACTCCCCACTTCTTCACTTTTGGCTTAGCTTTTCCTACCAAAACATACTTCAAAAGGCTTCTTTATAGAAAGAATGTTTCAAAAATATAATATTTCCATCTGTTATTTCAATAATACATGCTCTGGGACTCTCTTTATGAACCATTTTCATTTCTTTGCTCTCATTTGGATGTATAAATATTTGATTCTAAAGCCCTGAGGAGTACTCAGCCAATCAGGTTGTTGAATTGTGAACATTCCTAACCCTATAATTTTGTCTGTAACAGGCACCTCCCGCTGTGGAACTAACTGCTAAGGGATTACTGCAATGTAATCCTCCGACTGCTCCATCTCAAGGCTCCTCTGAAGTAGAGGGAAGGAAGCAGTTTTAATTTTGATAAAATAAACTTTATTTTGTAACTTTATTATTTATTTTTCTTTCTCCTTTCAACACTTCATAATAGACAGATCTGGTAATTTGAGGTCAGTCTCGTGGGCTGAGATATCCCCAGGCCACCTCCACACTCTCATAGATTTTTTTAAAGTAGTCACACAGAATTCGGTCCTGTCATTCCAAACTTTGGAAACTGAATTTCTTGTACTTTTCATGAGCTGAACCACACCATATGCCGATGCTTATTAGAAAGTGCATTCCTTATGGGTGACAACAGAACATGCTTGGACATTATTATGCTACACATATATGCTGGGAATGTCAAAGCATGTGGAAAATTCTAAGTTACACTTCTTGCTAAATTTTGATCATCAGGCATCTATTTCTGCAGTTATTAAAACAATTGCATTTAAAGTTAAAACATGAATTTCACAGGAACACTCTCTTTGATATAAACTGAAACATGTTCCTGGGAATAAAGGATTTTTATGGATGAAATCTAATATTTTTTGAATCAAGCCCAAAGAGGCATTTTGCTGTGTGTGAAGAATAAAGTAAAAATTCCATTAATAAAATTTTATGGCTGGAAGAGTAGGAAAAATATCTTTTCCAGGATAAAAATATTTTCCTCTTCTTAAATTAAAAAGTATAGATATTCACTTAAAACTAAACCTAGTTATTATACCAAGAATAGCCAAAATATTATAGAAACAATATAGAAAATATTGCAGAGTTTTTATTTATCTACAACGTTCACCAAGAAATTAGGTTTTAGGTTTGTACTCAATAAATCTGACTTCAAAAATTGGATACATTTTAAAAAATAATTTTTGATGATATTGGAGAGCTATAACATAGTTAGAAATGGAGAGTTCAAGGTTCCCAAATTAACATAGAAACAAAGAAATGAGTGTGACCTTTGGTGTTGCTTTTCCCATACAGGTATGTTTCAATTTAAAACCAGCCAGGAAATTAAAAAACTGAGGACTGATTTTAGCAGTCCTGTAGGACTAAGGGGACGAAAATTTGACACCGGCGTCTGTAAATCTATTAGGGAGAGATAAACAACCAGGGTTTCAATTGATTCCTGAAAGACTGTCAATTAAGAGTAAACATGAACAGAAGCAGAAATAAATTCTCATGTCTGTTTAATTCCTAATTAAATTCAAAGGAACTTCCTAAGTTAATAATCCACCAAAAGCTATGTTAAGGGCTTTGTGGAGAGAACTTAATCAAAAGCCTCAGATTATCCCTAAAATATTTCATATACAATATTAGCTTTTAATAAGATACTACTAGAAATTCCCAGAGACATGACTAAATGATCAAAAGTGAAGGAAAAACTGTTAGATATTGCCGGCGCCGCGGCTCACTAGGCTAATCCTCTGTCTGCGGCGCCGGCACACTGGGTTCTAGTCCCGGTCGGGGCGCCGGATTCTGTCCTGGTTGCCCCTCTTCCAGGCCAGTTCTCTGCTGTGGCCCCGGGGGTGCAGTGGAGGATGGCCCAAGTGCTTGGGCCCTGCACCCCATGGGAGACCAGGAGAAGCACCTGGCTCCTGCCTTCGGATCAGCTCGGTGCGCCAGCCGCGGCGGCCATTGGAGGGTGAACCAATGGCAAAAGCAATACCTTTCTCTCTGTCTCTCTCTCTCACTGTCCACTGTCCATTCTGCCTGTCAAAAAAAAAAAAGTACAGATATAAAGAAAAATCATTTACTATGAGGTTATAAGACATGGACCCTTAATAACTATGATTGCTACAATTTTTATTTTAATAGTAATAGAAGGGAACGTGAAGAGTTTTGACAGAGAACTAGAATTAATAAAAATAATTCATTGGAATTCTAGAATAAAATATGAAATAACTGAATTTTAAAAACCAAGGAGTGGATTTAAGACCCAATTAAACATGGCCAGAGATGAAAGTAGTGAATCGGATGATACATTAGCAAGAAATAGTCATAATAATAAAGAGAAACAAAATAAAGGACAGCACAGAGGATACAAGACATCCAGAACAAAATGAATGTCCATCAGACATGTAATTACATTCTTAGAAAAAGAAAAAGAGGACAAATGAGGCAGAAACAACATCTAAAGCAATTTAAACAGTTTCAAAAACTGCTGAAAAATAGCAAGACATACATTAAAGGAGTGATATGAATTCCAAGCACAAAATGAAGAAAATTACATCATAACAAAGAGCATGATAATAAAGGTAAAGAAAATCCAAGTAAAGAAAAAATAAAAGCTGGCAGATTTTAAAAATTATTATCATTATTTCAAAGAAGAAACTATAATAGAAAATAACTTCCCAGTAGAAATGAGGTAAGCCAGTATGTAAAGGAAGATCGTACTGAAATACCTGAAAGAAAAGAATTTGTCTCCTCAAACTATGTACCTGTATAAATATCTTCAAAAATTAAGGAAAAATAAAATGGAAAATCCAATGATAGGAGATGAATGATATTTGATGGAAGCATGGAGATGTAGAAAGAAATAAAGAGCCATTAAAATAGAATACAAAGAAACTGGAAAAATATTAAAATAAAACTAAATAATAATAATAATGTCTTGTGGGATTAATGTATAGAATCAAAATACTTGGCTTCAGAAGCACAACAAATGGGTGGAAATAAGAGTTAAATTCTTAAGCTACATGCTTCTACAGGAAATTATAAAGGCACTAATTTATATAAACATTTCAGAAATTTATAAATCAATATTTTATAAATCATAGATGTTACATTTTGTAAATTCTAGACTAATTACTAAAAATAATGGACATGTATAGATAACAAAATAAAATCAAATAGTAAATAATAGGATTATATTAAGATGTATAGTAATAACACTAAATATAAATGGACTAAATATTTTATCTAGAAGACTAAAATCATCAGACTTGTGTTAAATATACACATAGCTGAATGCTGATTATGAGATACACTTTAAGTATAAACAAGATTACATACTACATAACAAGCTGTATTAACACCATACAAAGAAGACGTTAAAGAGATGAGAATTATAATAGGTACAATGGGAATTTTGAAATGACAATATACCAGAAAGATAAAATATTAAATTTCTATCTAAAAATATCATCTTCTTTCAAGCCAGTAAAAAGGAACTGGTAGGTTTTAAATACACAGAAAAGATAAGGAAATGGAAATGTTAATTGCTTGTTATGATTAGTTCACACTGCATACATGTGTTGAAGTATTGCACTGTACCCATAAAAATATAATTGCATTGCATGTTATTCCAAAATTGAAAAAATAATTTAATAAAAACAAAAATATTGGTTTTAAAAAAATCACATCTTGAAGCCAGTGCTGTGGTACAGTGGGTTAAAGCCCCAGCCTGTAGCACCAACATCCCATATGGGCACTGGTTCATGTCCTGGCTCTTCCACTTCACATCCAGCTCTCTGCTGTGGCCTGAGAGCAGTAGAAGATGGCCCCAAGTCCTTGGGCCCCTGCACCCAGAGGAAGTTCCTGGCTTCAGATCAGCTCAGCTCTGGCCATTTCGTTTATTTAGGGAGTGAACCAGCAGATGGAAGAGATCTCTCTCTGGCACTACTTCTCTCTGTAACTGTTTTCAAATACATGAAATAAATTTAAAAAAATCACATCTCCATTTTTAATGCATATCAAGCAATGTTCCATGACCCTCAAATTTAGAGCATTTGTGAATGTTTTCCTCAAATAGGACTTCTTTAGGAAATGTCATGCTGCTACTTCTAAATATTGAACAAATTACTTTTTAAAGATCTATTTTAATAAAATACAAGTATAATTTATATGAGCAGAATTGACATTGAGATTTGATTATTGTTTATCATCCTTGTTTTTAAATAGTCTTTTTTTTCCTTACTATTCATTGAATTCTTCATATTGTGGAGGGTTAAGCCTATGGTTGTAAAATAAACTGAAAGTATGTCTTTGTAAAAATTAAAAGAAAGAGGGGCTGGCACCATGGCTTACTTGGTTAATCCTCCACCTGCGGCCCCAGCATCCCATATGGACGCCAGGTTCTAGTCCCAGTTGCTCCTCTTCCAGTCCAGCTCTCTGCTGTGGCCCGAGAAGGCAGTGGAAGATGGCCCAAGTACTTGGGCGCCTGCACCTGCATGGGAGAGCAGGAGGAAGCACCTGCCTCCTGGCTTCAGATTGGCACAGTGCGCTGGCTGTAGCAGCCATCTGGGGGGTGAACTAACAGAAGGAAGACCTTTCTCTCTGTCTCTCTCTCTCTCTCACTGTCTAACTTTGTCAAAATAAAAAATGATTAAAATAAAGAATAAGAAATGAAGGAGGAGAGAGGGTGAGAATATTGGCAAGAGGGAGAATAGGGTGGGAAGGATCACTATGCTCCTAAACCTGTATATATGAAATACATGAAATTTTTTTCACATTATACAACTAAAAATTATTTAAAACACTTTGAAGCTGTTAAAAACTAATTAAAAATTAAAATACTAAATTATATAAAAACAAAATTGATTTATTTGAAAGCCTGTTACAAAGAGGCAGAGAGAGAAAGAGAGAAATCTTCCATCCTGTGGTTATCTCCACAAATGGCTGAAATGGACAAGGCTGGGTCAGACCAAAGCCAGGAGCCAGGAGCTTCTTCCTGGCCTCCCACGTGGGTAAAGGGGCCCTAGCAGTTAGGGATAATATGTCTGCTTTCCCAGACATATTAGCAGGGAGCTGGATCAGAAGTAGAGCAGCTGGGACTTGAACCCATACCCATATGGGTTGCTGGCACTGCAGGTGGTGGCTCAATTTTCTGTGCCAAAGAAAGGATCCCTTGAACAAATTCTTTTAAGTTACTTTCACTGACTCTCCATGATTTCTCTAAAGCATATTCACTGTGTTCACAGCTTAGCAAAGTCTGTAGCTAGTTGGATGCTCTAGTGTGTCTGTGTACCTCACACCTACAGATTAAGTTATGCTCATCAAGACTAAATTGTTTTTTAACTTGTTAATACTGTATGTACTATTTTATATAATTTAAGAAGTGTATAAAGTGATGAAAGATATGCTGTGGAAATCACTAGTTCTGTGAGTGCTTTGCAAAGGATTGATAAATATAAATGGCTAAAAGATTGTTTTACATTAGAAAACATTGGGACAGAGAAGACAGAAAACGCATCCAACTCTAAAATTTGCTTACAAGTTATTTCACACTGTCTTTAAATTCTCCCTCCACCTGAGGGGAATCAAAAATTAAAATCCTAGAGAATACTTGTATACTTTGTGTGTGTGGTTAATAAAAGGGAAAAAATTGGATATTCCAATCAGTGGCTACTAATTCAAAATAAAACCTTGCTCTTCCATCTGGAAATTGACAAATGAATAGAGTTTAATGTTTTAACTTAAAGTATGCACATTTTAGTCTAGGACAGCCACACCAAAGTACCACAGACTGAGTGGCTGAATCAACAAGACTTTCTAACAGTTCTGGAGACCAGAAGTCAGAGTGTTGGTAAGGTGAGATTCCTCTGAGGTCTGTCTCCTTGGCTTGTAAATGGCTATTTTCTCTTCCCTGTGTCCTCATGTGGTCTTCCTTCTGTGTGTGTCTGTATCCTAATATCTTTTTATAAGAACACCAGTCATATTGGATTAAAGCCCACACTAACAACCTCATTTTAACTTAATTGCCTCTTTACAGATCCTGTCTCTAAAGACAGTCATATTCTGAGGTATTTGGGGTCAAGACTTCACCATATGCATTTGCAGTGGGGCATAATTTAGCCTCTAACAATGTGTAAGGTGTGATTTTTTTTTTCTTTATTTCATACTTCTACCAATTTTGTGACTTGGCAGCCTGTTAGTCCCCATCTGGAGGTAAGTGAGCAACACAGTGGACTCTGCCATCAAAATATTTGCTCTGCCATTTAGTAACTGTATCTTGGCAAAGTTAGATAGCTTCCCTGTGCTTATTAAGTTTCTTTATCTATAATAGTACCTAACTCCATAGGTTATTGAGGAGAACTAAACTTGCAAATACATGTAAAGCATGGCATATCCTGAATGAAATTTTATTTCTCAAATATGCCAACCATAAGCATTTTGTAACATTGTGCTCATAAAATGTTCCGTGGTGGCTTATGGAGATGATAGACTGGTGATCTCTGTGAATTATTTATTTGCATGAGTTTATGTGAGTTTAGGCTCTTTGCAAATGAGGCCAAGAGATGTGTTATGGGTAAAGGAAAAAAATCGGGGTGGACAACAATGGCCAGGACAATAGCATGATGTCTTCCTTTCCACTTGGTCTCATGCACTGGTTTCTTTCTCTTTCTTTCTTCCTCCTTTTCTTTCTTCCTCCCTCCCTCCCTCCCTCCCTCCCTTCCTTTTCTTTCTTCTTTCCTCCCTCCCTCCCTCCCTCCCTTTTCTTTCTTCCTTCCTTCCTTCCTTTCTTTCTTTCTTTCTTTCTTTCTTTCTTTCTTTCTTTCTTTCTTTCTTTCTTTCTTTCTTTCTTTCTTTCTTTCTTTCCCTCCTTCCTTCCTCCCTCTCTCCCTTCCTTCCTTCCTTCCTTCCTTCCTTCCTTCCTTCCTTCCTTCCTTCCTTCCTTCCTTCTTCCTTTTCTTCCTTTTTTTTTTTGGAAGAGAGGCTTTAGGGACCAAAGCTGTAGGATGTGACCCACAAAGATTTGTGGAAACTTATGTACAAACAGAACGCTGTGGAGCCCCCAAACAAAAAACAACCCAGAACAGAAAAGAACTCTCTGTGTCACTTATCTTGCAATGTAAGTTCTCACACTCTGAGGCTCAAAATGTCCACCAGCAGATACTGCTTTGCCTGGCAGGGCAGGGCACTTGTGGGACTGGCAGCCACAGAATGCCCGGAAAAGGAGGTTGCCAAGATGTGTGAGCCTACCTATCCTTTGCATAGAAGAGCCTCTTTCAGGGTCTAATAGAGATAACTTGGTGAAATTGTGAGGTTTGAGGTACCCACGAGCAGAAAGAGACAAATTCTTATGAAACAGAACTTTTAAATGCTGGTTACAATCATTTGGGTTACAATAAGAACTTTTTTCTGTTAGCTTCCTGGTTGTCCCCTTGATAATTTTTTTTATATCCACATAATGGAGAAATGTGACCTCATAATTTTGATGAATGTTGACTTCAGAATTTTCTTGAAAAACTGTGTATGTGGAAATGTTTTGTAGGGGAAGCTATGCACTCCCAACAGACCTTTTAGGTGGGAAAGATAATTACTTGCTTGGTGAGGGCACTTATCTTTCAAACCTCTTGGGATTCCTTCATCTGCACTGCACTTTTTGAGGGGAGCTTTGACCCAAAACTGGAACTTACAAAGGTCCTAGCCCTAGTCTGCACTTTAGCAATTCTGAAGGAAAATTCCAGGTTTTCAGAGTTGCAACTGACTTCATATGTGGCTTTGTTGTAACATCAATTTAGTGTGACTGAAAACAAGCCAAATGTCCATAATAACCAAATGGATAAATACATTGCCATCTACATACATAGTGGAGTTCTAAATAGCAATGATAGTAGTCAATCTACAGTTAATGTGCATCACCAGGGATGTAATGTTGAATGGAAGAACAAGGGTATGCATTTCAAAAACAGGCTGAAATTACACTTTGTCTTTCAGGAGATGCTGAGCTGCCTGCAAGTCAGTGACAGATTCATAGCACGAATAAAAGTGTTGTCATTTTATGAAACCCAGGATACCTCTCGATTTAAAAGCTTGTTGCCGTTTTGGAAATATGTCACATATCCTGAAAATTCAGTGTGAATTTAATCATCATAGGTGGGACCATCAAGGACCAGTCATAAATGGTTAAAACTAATGCAGAAGTATGAAGTAAGACTGCTACCTTGCACCTTACACAAAATCCATTAAATCTATGTCCAGACATGATCAAATTATTAGAGAACATTGGGGAAACCCTGAAAGGCATTGGTACAGGAAAAGAGTTCCTGGAAAAGATCCCAGAGGCACAGGCAGTCAAAGCCAAAATTAAATGAGATTACATCAAATTGAGAAGCTTCTGTACTGCAAAAGAAACACTCAGCAAAGTAAAAAGGCAATTGGCAGAATGGGTGTAATTATTTATAAACTATATATCTGATAAAGGATTAATAACCAGAATATATGAAGAGATCAAGAAACTCTACAACAACAAATGAACAACCCAGTGAAGAAATGGGCAAAGGACTTAAACATACATTTTTCAAAAGAGGAAATCCAAATGTCCAACAGACATATGAAAAAATATTCAGGATCACAAGCCATAAGGGAAATGTAAATCAAAACCACCATGAGGTTTCACCTCATGCCAGTTATAATGGCTTTCATGCAGAAATCAACAAAAAACAAATGTTGGTGAGGATGTGGAGAAAACATACCCTAATCCACTGTTGCTAGGAATGTAAACTTGTAAAGCTACTATGGAAGACAGTATGGAGATGCCTCAGAAATCTCAATATAGACCTACCATATAACCCAGCCATCCCACTCCTGGGAATTTACCCAAGGGAAATGAAATCAGATATGAAAGGATGATCTGTACCCCCATGTTAAGAAATTATGGGATATGTACACCATGGAATACTACAAAGTGGTTAAAAAAACATGAAATCTGGTCATTTGCAACAAAATGGGTGAATCTGGAAAACATCATACTTAGTGAAATAAACCAGTTCCAAAGAGACAAATATCATATGTTTTCCCTGACCTGTGATTACTAATAAAGCATGTAAAAGGCAATCCATAGAAGTGAAATTGACACTTTGAGAAACAATGACTTTGAATAGCTCTTGTATTGACTGTTGAGGAACAGTTTTTAATTTTTTTCATACCATTTGATGAATTCTTTACTTAACTTAGAGTTAACCATATGTGTATAAAGTTAATTGAAAACAGATCTTAGTAAAACATAAGAGTGGTAATAAGAGGTAGGAGGAGGAGGGGTGGGAGTGTGGGTGAGAGGGCAGGCACAGTTGGAAGAATCACCTTGTTCCTAAAGCTGTAATTATGAAGTGTATGAAGTTTGTAACTATAAAGATTTCTAGTTCTGCATACATTCTTACAGACTTACTCCTAAGTGTACAGTTTAAAAACTTGTCATGGGACCCCTAATCCCTGTAAGCTGGGTGGTAAAAATAGCACCTTAAGTGTTAAAGTGATCATATGGATAGGATTAAGTGTCTGACAATAACAATAGATAGAATTAAAAAGGAGTGAATGCTCCAACATGGAAGCAGGCCATACAGCAGACTCATAGTATGACAATAGCTTTAAGTAGCACTCTGACCTCAGAATCAGCCCTTCAGGCATTCTGGTCTGGCTGAATAGCTCATGAGAGCATCTCCGGCATGGAAAGCCAAGACACTGTGGCAAAAATTTTCCTACATGAAGGACCTTTGTGGGTGAGACCCCAGTGGAAAGAAGTAGTCATTTAAGAAAGGTGTATTCTTCTCTGCAGCGAGGAGAGAACTTCTACTTCACTTATGGCCCTATCTAAATACTGACAGAATTTGTCAATTCAAAAGCCTTCCATAGCCTAGGCAGCTCATGTCAAGAGTCTCAGGTAATCCCTGACATCATACACAAAGGTGTTAATTGTTAAATTAACAATAGAAATCACTGTGCACTAACTTCCCATGAAGGACCTCTGTTCTCAACAGTTGTATTATGAGTGTTTATTGTAAAAAAACTTGTTCTCAAAAATTGATTTGGTTTTAGTATATAAAGTGGAGGATATTCTTATGTCTCGTAAGTTTTAGTTATACTTAAGTGTCCAACTCCATTGCTTGTTTTCTTAGGTGCTTCTTTAATGATAAAACTTGTTCTTAAGGACTTTCTTTTAATGTATTAAGTGGAGAATGTTCTTGTGTCTCATAAGTTATAGTTATGTCTAATTTCTCACAAAAATTGAATCGTTCTTGGTTGCTTCTTTAAAGTTAATTAAGTTTCTAAAAAAAGAATTGAAATTAACTTTTAGATGTAATGACTTTAAACAGCCCTTGTCTCAACTGTTGAGGAACAGTTTGTGTGTGTGTGTATGTGTGTGTGTATGCAAATTGTTGAACTGGCCCGGTGCTGTGGCTCAATAGGTTAATCCTCCACCTGCGGTGCCAGCACCCCAGTTCTAGTCCCAGTCGGGGCACTGGATTCTGTCCCAGTTGCTCCTCTTCCATTCCAACTCTCTGCTATGGCCCCGGAGTGCAGTGGAGGATGGCCCAAGCGCTTGGGCCCTGCACCCGCAAGGGAGACCAGGAGAAACACCTGGTTCCTGGCTACAGATCAGTGTGGTGTGCTGGCCACAGCGCGCCGGCCGCAGTGGCCATTGAGGGGTACTCTGCCTGTCAAAAAAAAAAGTAAAAAAAAATTGTTGAACTGTTTTCTTAGTATAGAGTTGGTTTTCTGTGTTAATTGAAAATGGATCTCAGTGGAGAATGGGACTAGGAATTGGAAAGGGAGGAAGAGGTGTAATGGCAGTGGGGGTGGAAGTGTGGGTATGGTGGGAAGAATCACTATATTCCTAAAGTTTTACTTATGAAATGCATGCAGTTTGTATTCATTAAATAAAAGTTTTTTTTTTTGGAAAAAAGTATTTATCTATTAAAAAAGAGTATTATATCTATAAAGAGATACCATTAAGAGGTTGAAAAGAAAAGCCACAGAAGAAACAGATATTAACAAAACATAAACCCGTTAAAAGACTCAGGTGCAGGATAAAGACCCCCTACCAATCAATAAGCAAAAGACTTGACAATATAATTATAATGGACAATATGTTTGAACAGTCACATCACACAAAAAGTGATTCAAAAGCCAATGAAGTTTTCAAAAGTTGCTCAAACTCATTAGTTCTTCAGGAAATTACACATAAAGCTCCAATGTGAACCTACTACACAGTCACCAGAATATGTTGGCAAGGCCATAGAACAAATGGAACTCTCATACAGGGCTAGTCAGAATGTACATTAGTACAAAAAAATAAGAAAACTCTTTGAAGATGAATGTATTTTCATGGCTTAGCAATTCTTCTCTTAGGTGTATACCAATAGAAGGACATACAATTGATTACCAGAAGGCCAGTAAAAGGATGTTTACAGAAGCTGGTGTTGTGGCATAGCATGTTAAGCTGCCATCTGCAGTGCCGGCATCCCATATGGGCACCAGTTCCAGCCTCATCTGCTCCAATTCCCATGCAGGTCCCTGCTAATACACCTGGGAAAGCAGTGGGAGATAGCCCAAGTCCTTGGGCCCCTGAACCCATGTGGGAGACCTGGAAGAAGTTCCTGGCTCCTAGCTTCATCCTGGCCTAGCCCTAGCTATTGTGCCATCTGGCGAGTGAACCAGCAGATGGAAGATTTTCTCTCTCTCTCTCTCTCTCTCTCTCTCTCTCTCTCTTCCCCTTTCTCTCTCTCAGTCTTTCCCTCTCTCTTTCTGTAATTCTGACATATAAATAAATAAGTAAATAAATACTAAAAAATAACAGTATAAAAGTTCCCCTCTTGTAATCTCCTTGAAAAAAAAAAAAGAAAAAAGTATGTTTATAGTAGAATGTTCATGATAACCTAAGCTGAAAATAAGCCAAATATCCACAAGTAAACAGAATGAACAAATTGTGTTCCACATATACGGTGGAGTACTTACTCAATAGTGATGATAGTAATCAAAGATGCTTGAATAAGATACAACAGTTATATATTTAACAGGGATAGTCATTTCAAAAATAAAACAAAATTTTTTGTTGCATTATAACTCAGAATTGCTATGTTGTTTTGGGAAGGGGGTATAGCATAGCAATTGGAGAGAAACACAAGGGTGGCTTTCAGGTGTTCTGATGATTTCTTGTTTTATGCCTGCTTCCTCATCCCATAGACATATTTAATTTAAGAATATTAAGTTGTACTATGATGAGTCACATGTATTTACATAAGAAAGGAGAAAATATTCTGAAGGGAGTTCTGTTCACATTATGGGAAATTATTTGTTTCTCTGAAAAGGAATGTAAAAGGAGTCTGAGTGTAGTTCATCTGAGTTTGACTTTCTTCAAAGGGATTTTCACTAATTTATAGGATATTCAATGGGAATTTGAGATTTTAAAAATCAAAGGTTGAGGATTATAACTCTTTTCAATCTTTCTGTAATTAGTATTCAATCATGACTTCTGGTTTTTGAGGCTGTTATGTATGGATAATTTTCTTAAATGAGACATCCTTCTCATTAATCTTGATTAATAAAGAAAAATGTGGACATTTGTACGCTGTATTTTGTAACCTGTGATTTAGAGCACTAGGGACTCCCAAGGATGGATCACTGTTTGATAAATGGGGTGGTTATTTAACAGTACATCTGCCTCTTGATGCACAAACCCAGAGAGAAAAGATGCAGGTGGTGAGTAAGCATTAAACTTTCTTGTAAAACGACAAAGCTGAAAGGTATGAATAAAAATATTTGAAAGCTCTGAGTTATGAAAATAAAGGAGTCCAAGGCAAGAACTGCCTCTGAAAGTCGACTCTAAAGAAAGAATTCTGAAGACCAAAGCAAATCTATCCCTAGGAGACCAACAGACTAGAATGAATTCATATACGACAACACTCCCTATTTGCTATTGAGTATTTATCTAAAAGCTGGGAAACCATTTCAACTGACAAATTAATGTTCATAGCACATTTCAAGAAAGGACAATTTAGTTTGAACTAGAGATTCTAGAAGCAGAGTAAAAGACTATACAAAGACATAACATAGTGTTATGGCTAAGGTACTTCTTCAAAGCAGAGACTAAGACTCCAATGGAATAATAGAAAAAGAAATTCTTAATGTATCTTCTTGTATACACTTGGAAACTAACCCATTCAGGTGCCTATTTATATAGAAATTACAACAGTGCAACCACAGATATGTTCATGTTCTCACAACGGTCTTCATTTTGATATGACATTTATCTTTGCAAAAAGCAATTTTAAAGACTGTCAAACTTCCTCAGTATTTTGGGAAACAATTTATACTTTCTTTTTTTATTTTTATAAAGATTGTATTTATTTATTTGAGAGGTAGAGTTACAGACAGTGAGAGGGAGAGACAGAGAGAAAGGTCTTCCCTTCGTTGGTTCACTCCCCAAATGGCTGCAACAATGAAAGCTGTGCCAATTTGAAGCCAAGAGCCAAGTGCTTCTTCCTGGTCTCCCATACAGGTGCAGGGGCCCAAAAACTTGGGTCACCTTCTAGTGCTTTCTAGTGCTTCTAGGCCACAGCAGAGAGCTGGATTGGAAGAGGAGCAGCTGGGTCTCGAACCGGTACCCATATGGGATGCTGGCGCCTCAGGCAGAGGACTAACCTACTGCACTATGGCACCAGCTCCAATTTACACTTTCTTAATATGATAGTGGCAACTTAGTGCTCTACACATGACCTGATGAAGTTGGAGCAGCTTCAAGACAATGAAATATATTTCTTTCAAGACCCATCCTGCTAACTGCTGTTGTCAGGCATTGATCTTCCTTAAAAAACTAGAGGTTCCTTGATAGCCTAGATACCCATTTTGCTCACAGAGTCTTGGGAAATTTGATTGCCTTCAAAAACGGAGGTGGCATACAGGAGGTGAGCAGTTCGAGGGACACAGCCTGACTCAGAGAACATTTTGATAAAGACTTATGCAACTAAACACACTTTATTATGTCAATAATTTCACAATTTTCTGCCAATTTGAATACTCTTACCCAGCATTCAGCAACACAGGGCACACACCCATAGTGGACTGTGAAAATTGATCAACAAATTTTCTATTCAATCTCTGAGACCAGGAGAAGCACCTGGCTCCTGGCTTCGGATCAGCGTGGTGTGCCGGCCACAGCGCGCCGGCCGCAGCAGCCATTGGAGGGTGAACCAACGGCAAAAAGGAAGACTTTTCTCTCTGTCTCTCTCTCTCACTGTCCACTCTGCCTGTCAAAAAATAAAAAAAAAAAAAACTTGTCACCTGGCTATGAGTGCAAGGATGGATAGCATGGGTACACCCAGTCCCATTCCATTAGCTGATGATTGCATCAAACGTGGGTGTATGACCTGGGAAAGGCCAATTGTAATCCTTCCCTGGAACGAATGTGAGTTTCCAAGACAGGTGGCTATGAACCTGGAGCTGATATGTGGAGGTAATGTGCTTTCCGACTACAGCCAAGTGGAGACAACTGTCCAGAAGGAGGAGTCCCATGCCTTTGAGTCTCTGCCTACAGGTCCTGAGGCTCTGATTCTTGTATCTTCCTGAGTTCAGTAACTTGCCCAAGTTTTGTGAATAAAGTTTTGTGAATAAAGTAATTCCCTTTCTGCACAAGCCAGTTAGAGTTGATTTTTGTCATCAAAAACAAAATAGTCCTCGCGGGGGCGGGCGTCATGGTGTAGCAGGTTAAACCACTAACTGTAACACATGCACCCCATATGGGCGCGTTTCAAGTCCTGGCTGCTCCACTTCCCATCCAACTCCTTGCTAATGTTCCTGAGAAAGCAGAAGAAGATAGCCCAAATGCTTGGGCCCCATGCATCCACATGGGAGTCCTGGAAGAACTTCTGGCTCTTTTTTTTTTTTTTTTTTAAAGATTATTTATTTGAAAATCAGAGTTACACAGAGAAAGGAGAGGTCTTCCATCTGCTGGCTCACTCCCCAATTGGCTGCAACCCAGGAGCTTCTTCCGGGTCTCCCACGGGGATGCAGGGGCCCAAGGACTTGGGCCATCTTCTACTGCTTTCCCACGCCATAGCAGAGAGCTGGATCAGAAGAGAACAGCCGGGACTAGAACCAGTGCCTATATGGGATGCCGGCGCTTCAGGCCAGGGTGTTAACCTGCTGCGTCACAGCGCCGGCCCTTCCTGGCTCTTGACTTAGGCCTGGCCCAGCCATAGATTTTGCAGTCATCTAGGGAGTGAGCCCATGGGAAGATCTCTCTCCCTTTTAAATAAATAAATAATTTTTTTTAAAAGGGGGAAAAAAGTCCTGATGAATAAAAGAACATTGTCAAGATTAATAGGAACCAAGAGCCGTCAATTGCCCCTAATTTGGAGCTATTTATTTCAAGCATCTCAAATAGCCTGTTTATGCCCATGGCATTTAGATACCAAGGACCTTCCATGAATATTTTGATAAGTTTAAAATAGTCCGGGTATTCCACGTAGACTTTCTCTAAGACCAGTGCTTCTCAAGCTGCAATGTGCTCTTAGATTTGCTTCTTCTTTTAGCCTCTGAAATGTGCCAGGTATACACATCATGATTGGCACAAAGACAATTGATACAACATTCGCTATATTGTAAATATTCTGCAAGGCAGGGGAGGTTTCATGAGTTTTAAAATTGCCTCATACTCCAAGTTACTGATAACCAGCGATCTCTTTATCTATAAAATAACAAATATTTCATTGATTATTATTTATTATTAAAGAAATAATTCTTGATTCAAATGTGAGCAAATTGAAAAAAAAGAAGGAGCAATCAATAATGGGTTATGAAAACTGGAGGTAGGGAATTTACAGAGTCTGAAGTACAGATGGGCTTAGGTTGTGCAGAGGGAACAGGGACAGACTTTCAGAGAGTAGAAATGATGGTGGAGCAAAGGCACTGGAAAGCAATCTAATGAAGAAGAAACATTCACCCATACCACAGCCACTTCATCCTGTTTGTCTCCACTGACCATCCATTCTAATTGCAATTTCTTAATGGATTTTGATCTGAAGGTAAGAAGAGGAAGCTAACCATCCAACCTGGAACTCTCCTTGACACATGGTCCCTTAAACACATTTTGAATTTTCCTATTTTCTATGGCATCCATGGACTTCCCTTCTGAACATTTATCAAAGTAAGAGGCCATCTGCTCTGTGCTCAGTCTGCTCCATAAATGAAATTAAGATATATGGTACATGGCTCCATTCCAGCTTCTCCTTCTTCAACAGCTGCTATGCCCCTTTGAACAGCCCATGGGGCATAACTGATGTCTCACCTTACAGCAAGGTGCATGACCCCATTGCTTCCAGTTCTATTTTACTTTGAAAAATACCTGCATTTCATGCTGCTCAAGTGTTATTTTAGAAATCCTTACCATACCCGAAACCACTATTTTAGACTCCTTTGGCAATAACCCATTTTACCAATGAAAGGTTTTGAATGGAAATTCAGCATTTAAACCAACTATTCTATTACAGGAAGAATAATACTTTCAATTTATATATCCCAGATTCTTTGAAGTTCATTATTGACATTTGCTACTCAAGCTCCTTCATGTCCCTGGGATCCTCTTCTCACAGGGGAGTCTTGAAAGCTAGAAACAATCTGAAACTATAGAGTCGGAAATGAATGACAGTTGTCCTAATGAAACTGGAATGAAGTCACAGAACTAAAAAGAAAGCTGTGGCAGCACTTACCCAATTAGTTAAGAGACCCACAGCGCATATTTGAGTACCAAAGTTCAATACCTGGCTCTTGTCTCCTGCTTCTTGCTAGCGCAGCAGACTCCAGGAGTCAGTGGTTATGGCTCAAGTAACTGGGACCCTGCCTCTCACACAAGAGAT